CAGGGACAGCAGCATGGCCATGGGGACAATGGCATCACCCCAGGGGTGGCATCACCACAGGGTCAGCAGCATGGCCATGGGGGCAATGGTGTCACCCCAGGGGTGGCATCACCACAGGGATGGCAGCATGGCCATGGGGACAACAGCATTGCCCAAAGGATGATGGTGTCACCTTGGGGACAATGGCATCACCCCAGGGATGATGGGGTAGCCCTGAGACTATGGCATCACCCCAGGGGTGGCATCACCACAGGGATGGCAGCATGGCCATGGGGACAATGGTGTCACCCCAGGGGTGCCATCACCACAGGGTCAGCAGCATGGCCATGGGGACAATGGCATTGCCCCAAGGATGATGGCATCACCTTGGGGACAACGGCATCACCCCAGGGATGATGGGGTAGCCCTGAGACCCAATCCAACCCCAATCCCCATCCCAATTCCCACCCTGTTCCCAATTCCCATCCCAATTCCCATCCCAATCCTGACCCGCTCACTCCCAGTCCAACCCCAATCCCCCCCCCCACTCCCACCCCCCCAAGGATGATGGCATCACCCTGGGGACAACGGCATCACCCCAGGGATGATGGTGTAGCCCTGAGACGATGGCATCACCCCATGGGTGGCATCACCACAGGGATGGCAGCATGGCCATGGGGACAATGGCATTGCCCCAAGGATGATGGCATCACCTTGGGGACAACGGCATCACCCCAGGGATGATGGGGTAGCCCTGAGACTATGGCATCACCCCAGGGGTGCCATCACCACAGGGACAGCAGCATGGCCATGGGGACAATGGTGTCACCCCAGGGGTGGCATCACCACAGGGACGGCAGCATGGCCATGGGGACAATGGTGTCACCCCAAGGATGATGGTGTCACCTTGGAGACAATGGCACCACCCCAGGGATGATGGTGTAGCCCTGAGACTATGGCATCACCCCAGGGGTGGCATCACCACAAAGACAGCAGCATGGCCATGGGGACAATGGTGTCACCCCAGGGGTGGCATCACCACAGGGTCAGCAGCATGGCCATGGGGACAACAGCATTGCCCAAAAGACGATGCCGTCACCTTGGAGACAATGGGATCGCACCATGCCCGGTGGATGGCGAGGGCGGTGCGTGTCTCCCTGCCCTCCTGCCGGCTGATGTTCTTGGCCGCCTCCACCACCTCCTCCGCCGTGCGGTACCGGCCCAGCACCCACTCGTGCACCACCTCCTCCCCGTACTGCAGCACCCCCACCTGCCACGGGGACCCCCGTCACCCCCTGGCACCCCATGGGGACAATGGTGTCACCCCAGGGGTGGCATCACCCCAAGAACAGCAGCATGGCCATGGGGACAATGGGGTCACCCCAGGGGTGGCATCACCCCAAGAACAGCAGCATGGCCATGGGGACAATGGGGTCACCCCAGGGGTGGCATCACCCCAAGAACAGCAGCATGGCCATGGGGACAATGGGGTCACCCCAGGGGTGGCATCACCCCAAGAACAGCAGCATGGCCATGGGGACAATGGGGTCACCCCAGGGGTGGCATCACCCCAAGAACAGCAGCATGGCCATGGGGACAACAGCATTGCCCAAAAGACGATGCCGTCACCTTGGAGACAATGGCCTCACCCCAGGGGTGGCATCACCCCAAGGACAGCAGCATGGCCATGGGGACAATGGCGTCACCCCAAGGATGATGGCATCACCCTGGGGACAATGACATTGCCTAGGGGTGACCACATCACTTCAGGGGTGGCATCACTGCAGGGACAGCAGCATTGCCCTGGGGACAACGGCAACAGCCCAGGGACGATGGCATCACCCCAGGGGTGGCATCATCACAAGGACAGCAGCATGGCCAAGGGGACAATGGCATGGCCAAGGGGATGATGGCATTGCCACAGGGATGATGGCATTGCCCTGGGGACAATGGCATCATCCCAAGGATGATGGAGTCACCCCAGGGATGATGGCTTCATCTGGGGGACCTCATCACCCCGGGGACACTGGTGTTGTCCTGGACATGGCACGGCCCTGGGGACACTGTGATGGCCCTGGGGACACTGTGATGGCCTTGGGGACATCGAGATGGCCCTGGGGACACCACCTCACCTGGATCTGTCCTGGCCCGATGAAGAACTTGCTGAGGATGTTGCTGAGGAAGTTCTGCACCTCGTACCAGGGGTAGATGCTGTTGGAGCCGTCCAGGACGATGACGATGTCCATGTAGGTGGAGCAACCTGGGGAAGGGGGACACAGCTGACACTGGCAGGGGGGTGGCACGTCCCAACAAGTGTCCCCCAACACCACCACCACCACCCCCCAACTCACGCTGAGCCGTGGGCGCGATGGTCCCCACCGGCCGCAGGTCCTCATCCAACCGGGCGCAGATGCCGGTGCTGAAGAGGGAGGTGCCACACTCCTGGGACCAAAGTGGGGCGCAAGCCTGGGGTGGGGGGGACAC